TATATAAAGATTGTGATGTAATAGAATATTTACCAACTCTGTGCTGTCTTCCTTTAGCTCAGGCGCACAGACAGGCGCACTGTCTGAGTAAATGGGCAGGAAATAAGTAGAGGAATGGCCGATCTTAGTTATGTGCATTTATTCACTGATGTTCCACTTAAATATTCACAGTTATTTCACACATGTAAGCAGAACCAGTCCAAGGATTTCTGAGGCCTGCAAGCACAGGCTGAATGGTTGAATGGTTGGCCCACTGTCCACCACCCCATCATCTGTAAGCTTAAATATTTGTGGAGTTTAAACAAAGCATTAATGTGGGGACAAGTATAAAATCAGGGTTTTTTTTTTTCAAAATCTGAAAAACTAGACAAGCAGAAGATGAGGACGTACGGAGTATCAGGGGGTCACAATATTAAATATACCATGCAGATCTTTGGAATTAAATGCATCATAAAATTAATAAATATATTGTCAAATTAAGTAATTGACCATGAAATAATCAAAAATACAATTTTAAATAAGTCTTTTAAAGAACTTTTAGTTTAAAATACGGAGTTATTTTATGGCTCCTGCGAGCCCGTCGTCATGGAAACCCTGACTCTCGGGCTCCCCCTGGTGGTGACAGTGGGCTTTGCAAACAGCCTAAAAAGAAAAAAGCAACTGAAACCATATGAATTTATCGACTCCCTTTCACTCTTATTGTAATAGTTAGAAGAAGTGACACAAAATGAGTAAAACCCTGAGCCGTGGCAGCTGCTCCGTCAAACTGATGCACATTTATTTCTTTGTTATAAGACACGAAAACATCAAAGGGTTGGTCGGTTTTTGTTTTTTAGTAGATGTGTGGAGACAAACGGCGATTCGGGTCGGTTGGAGTCGATGCCGTGTGCAGAACGTCAGTGGAGCTGAGGGTAAGACTCACAGTGTGGTGACAACATTAACAGTCTTAATAAACTAAAACAACAGAAAAAGAGTTATGTTGCTTTCAGCTCAGCTGTGGACTCTATAAAAACTGTACAGCAAAATAGAAAATTTTGGCTTTTCCCTCACAGCTTTTTTTTTTTTGTACATTTTGTAGCACTCCACACAGTTCTGCAACAATTTGGTACCAGTGATTTAAGTATTTGATAAAGGGTTTTACTTTCTGGTACCTGTTAGCATCCGAGAAAATTATCACCACCATTTAAAAACTATAAAACTACAACAGCGTATTTGGGCCATTGAAGATAAAAGGAGTACATTTTCACCCAAAAAAAAAATCCATATGAAATGTTGAGAGTAATCTCAGAAAATTTTGAGAAAACTTGGAAAATATTTGGAGTTTAAGATTAATATTTTTTTTTTTAGAAACTCAGAAATTTCCAGGTTTTTCTAGAAAATTTGTAACTTTTTAAAATTTGTGACTTTTCAAACTCATGAAATTTCTACGTTTTTTTCTAGAAAATTTCTGATTATTCTCAAAATGTGTTTTTCCACGCAAAGTTTAGATTTCTCAAAATCAGAAATTTTTAAGTTTTTATAGAAAATGTGTAAATGTTAATTTTTTCTAGCAAATTTGCAACTTTTCAAACTTAGAATTTGATTTCTTTTCCAGAACATTTCTGAGATTATTCTCAAAATGTGAGTTTTTTCTAGCAAATTTGCAACCTTTTTCAAACTCAGAAATCTCCATGTTTTTTCTAGAAAATTTGGGAATGCAATTTTTTTATAGAAAATTTCTGAGTTTATCCTCAATGTATGAGTTTTTTTCTAGGCAATTTTCAAAATCTGAAAATTTGTGATTTTTTTTCTAGCAAATTTGCAACTTTTTAAACTCAGAAATTTCTGGTTTGTACAAGCAAATTTTTCATTTTTCAAATACAGAAATTTTCCTGTTCTTTCAAGTGAATTTGAGTTTTTTTGTCTGTAATTCATTCCTGTTTTTATTACCATCTATAATCATCCTGACACGCCTTTGTATAAAACAGCATTTGGGAAGCAGATGTAAATATTACAAAGCAAAAATACTAATCACAAAGATATTAACAAACCTAATTAACAGCCCTGAGAAATAATCACATTTTTGCAGCATCACATTGAACCAGTTTAAAATAACAGATGGATTTCAGAGCTTCATTTAGATCATTTCAATTCATTTTTTCTCATTATTTTAAGGTTGATGAGTTTGCGACACCAGTTGTTCTAAACAAGCTGGTATATTCATTTCAGTTCAGTTTTACAAATGCTTTATTAACCTCAAAGGTAAATTAAAAGTTGTAGCTCAAATTATACAAGTTTCTTCAAAGCGTTGCTGTTGATTTCTGTGGGTAAGAAGGATCTCCTGTAGCAGTCTGTATCACACCAGCTTCATTCAGTCTCTGACTGAAGACATTAATGCTAAGCTATTTTCGTTTCAGAAAACCACATTTTAAATGTTTTAAAATGTTGTCTTTGGTTTTTGGCTCTTTTTTCAATCCTGTGGCATAAAAGTTTCACTCATCAGTATTTGTTAGCTTCTGTTTGTAAATGTCAAAAACTAAAAACTAGACAAAAATACGTGGTAAGGTTTTGATTTGATCCATTTTACTGATTCTGATAAATTCTAATTTCTGTATTTTTTTACTAACCAAACTTCACTGGTACCATCCTATTGCAGAGATGTGATGTGAAATGCTTCCTTTATTTTACTGGGATATTTTCTTTAAATGACTATACTTGAACCAATATGGTCAGAGATTTTATTTTATTTTTTTAGGGTTTATCAAAGTTTTTCTTTCCAGAACTTTGGACCCAATAACAAAACAGATAAAACTATGAACATGTTTGTAAAACACAAAAGTGCCATGCAGACAATGACTCGTCACATTAGCTTTTCCAGCTTTTTTCTTACCTTATTATTGTTTTTTACATCTAAACATGTGCACTGCTGTTAGTTTTTATGATTTCAGCCTGACAAAACCATTTCCCTGTGTATTTTAGTCCTTTTTTAGCAGGAAAAAATATATGTGCATTTACATTTTAGGAAGATTTTCTTCACAGTCGGGTCACTTAGATATTTTTGGCACTTTTCCTCCCAGCAGCACTTTCTTCACTCCAACTTCCAGATGTGTTTCAAAATATCCGCACTTCATATCTTGATTTCATTTCGTTTCATATATAATGGCACTCTGTTTTTATCATCATAAAGATAAAACTTGGCTTTAAAACACAGCAAAAGGCAGTCCTTTCTGCAGGTAAACAACAGGTGAAATCAGGGTGGGATGTTGAGGAACAAACTTCGCTTCGGCAGGCGCTGGATGTGGAAAGTCCAGCTGGATTCGCCTCCAACTCTGATAAATTCGCAAACTTTGACTCTTCCTGTGTCTACTGTCATCCAGTCACATTGCGGAAAAATTCTGCATTTACTTAAAGGGGACCCATTATGCAAAAGTTTGGGTTTCAAATGCTTCTAAAAAAAATAGCCAAAGTGCTTAAAAAACAAACAAAAAAAATCACTGTACTGCATTTTTTTGGCAATAAGTTAATGGTTTCTGGTGTCTGGAAAATGAGCCATTTCAATAACTTACAGATTTTTAAATCACAATAAAAGGAAACTGCGCTGTAGGCAAGCAACTCTAGCCCAGCCCGTTACCGAGCAACACCAGCCCAGCCCCGTTACCTAGCAACGCCAGCCCAGCCCCGTTACCTAGCAACGCCAACGGAACTGCAGCACTTTCAGTTAACTGATTTTACCAGGAGCCGCTGTGATTTCTAACAGCTCAAACAACAAAAACTGGATTTATGTCCTTGTTTGTTCACAGAATGTGGTGACATTAATAATAATCAAACAGGATGAAATAGTTCATAAAGCATTGGACCTGTAGTTTGTTAGATTTTAACAAACTACGGGTCATACAACGGTAATAATGTAAAACTACATTATTGACCATTACAAAAGAGAAATTTGCTCAATACGCTCTTGGATCTTGACAAAAACCAAAGTGTTTCCAGATTTTTATCCAGGCACAGTACATATTATACATCAGCAACTTTCTCAGCTTTAATTTAAGCCATATTTTATAGAAATTAGATAAGAAATAAGGGCAATAGATACAACTATTTTTGTGACAGATTCCTGCTCATCCCACAATTGAAGCAGTATGGTTTTATGGACATGACTCAATGTGTATTAATGGCGCCTGAACGTTGACTTCACTAGCTTCAGCGGCTAACAGGAAATGTCCAATCCAGAAATATATATCTATGGCTTTACCGCTGCAAGAGTGTTTTTCTATTGGTTTACCATTCATAAAATACCTTTGTATGAAGTTTAAAGACCATCTGTTTTCTGCCATTTTTACGTGCGAGTGTAAACGTTGAGTTTAGTGGCCGTGGCTAAATAAACCATTTATTTGGATTTAAAGTGACAGAGGCCCTAAAACAGCTCATTCTGAACGGCGCTCAACACGAGTATTTTTGGCAAATTCCCATTATCTAAGAATGATTTTGTGCTAAAAAGTTTAATGAAAATGTTTTGTATTGCCCTTAGACCAGGGGTGTCCAAAGTATGGCTGGCAGGCCATTTGTGGCCCTTGAAATGATTTTGATTGGCCCCCTGGCCACAGTTCAATAACGATAAAAAATTTGGCCAACAAAATATAAAACAACTGTTGAAGACAAAAATGTATAAATTCTCTCCCTTTTTTTTTTTTTTTTTTTTTAACAAAGCAACAATCTGTAGCCTTTTTTATGTTTTGGGTTTTTAAGGTTTTCATTTAAAAAAAAAACTTTTTATTGATCAGTTAAACTAAATAAAAAGAAAAATCACAATAAACTAATTTTTTTAGTTTAAATTTGCCAGTTTTGGACACCCAATCCTAGCCTGTTCTAGGAAGCACAATAGGTCACCTTTAAATTAAATTTAAACTCCACATGTGATGACAAGCGTGACACAAACTTTTCAACCTCAGTGAGAAAGACGAGCCTGAATGTCGTCTGGGCTGCATTTCGTCCTGTTCCGGTGAGACGTGGTTAAAATCTTTTCGTTTATTCGTTATTTTGCAGATGATGTGCTGATGTTCATGGAGGGTTTGTGTCTTTGTGTGCGAGCCGCGGCTCTTATGATGGCTTTGCAGACAGGTAGGAGATCAGCGCTGCGATGGCGCAGATGTACGTTATGATGCCAAACACGATGGAGAGCACGGAGAGCCACAGGGCCTGGCGGGACGCCGCGTTGGCGCCCTGAAAATCCCCCTGAGCTGATGCCTTGTTGGTCTGGAAAGCAGAAGACAGTGGGATAAGGATTAGCGGTTCGGGAAAAAAATAAAGTAAAATCAGAGAGAGGGGTATTTGTCCTGCATGGCTTTCCTCCTCCCCTCAGTTCAATCACTCGCTAATCCCACATTATGCTGAATCCCTGAATGATAAGCAGCATTCAGGATTCATCAGGGTTTTCTGTCCTCTTCTCTCCCTGCAGTCCTCGTCTCTGAGTTTGACCCTGGTTTAGGTAACGCTCCACAACATCGGAAATCCATCCGAGGTTTCTCTCTGTTTCTGATTCAATCTTAAAGAAAATGTTTTTTTTTACTGCTGTTGACACTGCAAGGTTTAGTGGATGTTTTACTTTATCTTTTTATTTCTGAAGGGCGACTGTTGAAGATGGATGGTGGAGTAATAAGGAAAAGCAAAGAAAAAAATAAATATCAAATTATTAGACTAAACTCATAGTATTACAAGAATACATTTGAAATAATACAAGAGTAAAGTCATAAGATTACCAGAATAAAGTCGTACAAGAATAAAGTCAAAATAATGAAAGAATGAAGCTGGAATAATGCAGCAAAGTCATAATATTACCTGAATAAAGACAAAAAAATCCTCATTTTAAGAGATAAAAGCACAATAAAGTGGAAATAATGCAAGAATAAATTTGTACGAGAATAAAGTTGAAATGAAAGAAGAACAAAGTTGTAGTATTACAAAAATACTACAACTTTATTTTATTTATTTATTGTTATCTTTGATATTTTTATGGATTAAATCAGAAATGGAAATAAATCCTAAGCAGCTATATGTTCTGGTTATTTTTTCTGAAAATGGAGGATGGGAATTAGAAAAACAAAACAAAGTCAAACAATAAATTCTGATTTAATCGCAGCAAAATAATAATTTTACAGTTTCTTAAACTTTGATATTTGCTCTAATAACATCAGGATGTTGAAGAAAACTGTTCAGGTTTGAGTTCTTACAATGTGTGTTTTCTTGTTCGTCTCAAAATATATAAAAACACTGTAACATTTAAACCAGGGGAGTCCAAAGTGTGGCCCGTGGGCCATTTGTTGCACGTTAACTGATTTCTTTGTGGCCTCAACTTTCGTTCACAAATAATACAAATTTGTTCATTAAGCTTTTTATTTTTAATCAGAGTGACATTATTATTATTGACAATTTTCTTACAGTGGAAAATCTTAATTATAACACAAAATATTCGTCTTTTTATAAATAAACTTTCATAATAGGTACAACCAACTTAATTAATATGTAATTTATTTATTTAACAGATTAATAAATTAAATTGAAGTTAAATTAATTAAAATTTTAATTCCAAGAAATTCAATAGATTAAATATTTATTGAAATTCATGTTTTATTTAATAAATTAAAATGTAATTTGTTTAATAAATAAAAAATTTAAAGAAATTACATTTTAATTTAGTCAATTTATTAAATCTAATATAAAATTATTAGTTAGGGTTAGTTAAATATTAATTTCACATTAATATTTATCTAGTTTATTTAAAATAACATAAATAAATATAACTTGAATTTAATTGATGTAATCTATTAAACTGAATTCAATAAATTAGTTAAAGTACAATTTAATTTATTACTTTAATTGGTTTATTTTTTCTTGGCCCATGAGTATTTTTGACTGGATGATTTTGGCCCATGTGACAGAAAGTTAGGACACCACCGATGTAAACACTGGGACTCTCGTGCTGCAGCAGGCCTGCTTCATGTTGGACTGTGTGACTTCAGGCTTGTACCTTCTGAGACAGGTAGAAGGCAGCGATGCCCAGCGGCCAGAAGCAGCAGAGCATGGAGAAAAAGGCCAGACCCAGGTAGTCCTGAGGGATCATCAGGGGAAAGTTTCCGTCGCTGTCCGTATCGCTGAGGTCGTCGATAGACGAGTCCTGGGACCCAAACAGAGAACATTCAGGGGGACTTCAGGTCAGTTTCTGAAGATATTTTTCTCTTTTAGATCCAGATCTGAGCAGCAGGAACGAGGAAACGCCAGGTTTTCATTTTTGAGACAAATAAAAGATTATTTAAAGAAATTTACGTCCATTCTTCAAGTTATTAAATTTGAAAACTCAGTAAGATAATCTGCTTTAACTCTCATGAAAGCAGGAAAAATATTCTGTTTTTATTAATCTCACGTGTTTTTTACAGCAACCGGAAAACCTTGCTTGTGACTTAATGGGGTTACGCTGTGAATGTGCACAAACTCCACTGACTGCAGGCTAACCGTGACTCATACGTCTGCGCACGGCTCCGTATATTCGATCTGACTCCCCCAACCCGACCAGGCTACACTGCTTAGCTCATTTTTTTGCATGAACAAGCTGCACATCAAGCGAATGTCCTTCTGTTTTTAAAGCACATTTCCAATCCCATTAAATGCCTTTTGTTGCTCCTACAAATTAATTATGAAGTCCTGAAATGCAAAAATATGATTTTATTATTTATTCCCAAAGTGTGCCCAACTTTGTGTCTACGCATCTGCATGTGGCTGTCATTGTCCTGTTCATGCTACAGTGATCAAGCTCTAAGCTGCTGCTAATGATTATTGTATTAATCGATTATTCTGATGATTAATCAATGAACTGGACTAAAAAAAATTGACAATCTGTTGATTTTTCTATAACCATTTAAGCTTTTTAAACATTAGAAATGCATTAAAAGATGCAAATAAATAATTAGATTTTTTTAAATTAACAAAATAGACATTTTACTGCCTAAAATGCAAAAACCTAGCATTCCTTTAGAGAATAGTTGATTATTTGTAGCAAACGATGCATCTGCAGAACATACTTACAGACAAGGAAGGTTTTGTTTTATTAGGTGCAAAATGTGTATTTATTCTATATAGTTTTTTGTTAATTACTCCTCAGAGTGTGTTGTTCTTTCAGCAGACTGCCTGTTTTTAAACTTCGATTAATCGTTTCCTTCCTACTATATATTGTAATTTCCATCAAACCAATTATGATACGGTCCAAGGTATTGTTGTTTTTCTTTTTTTCGTTCATTTAATTTGCCTGATGGAGCTTTGTGTTTGTTCTGAACATTAATCCAGGTATTTGCGTTGTTGCCACACACAGCTGGTGCATTTAGGGATTTTCAAGAAGTTGTTCACAGATCGCCATCTGCCCGAACGTCCGTCCCACTGTGACGCCTGTGGGATGTAAATTCCTCATCTGCGGCTAACTCCCGCTGCAGTGGACTGAGTGCAGCGCAGGATTTTACGGCGGAGCTCATGTGCAATGATGAGACTTCTGTTCAAACTGGACAACAATGAGCAGGACAGCAACAAGAGAACTTCAGTAGATATGAACAGTTCATGTAATAAATAAAAAGGAGCAAAAAGAAGGATAAGCTTATGATATCTGCCCCCAATTAACATAAAAGTACATTAGCTATTCAACTCAGGAGACTATTACAGGCATATTTCAAATGTACAATAAATACACTAAAAAACCCCACAAAAATCAGCTCAGTGACTTATTTAGATGTAAAAATGAAGAATTATAAAATTGTTTCCAACTCTCCTTCTTCAAGCAGTTTTATTTCTTCTGCTGCTCATTTCCTATTTTCTAAGACTGCAACTAACGATTATTCTGATGATTAATCGATTAATCAGATAAAAAAAATATTCTGCAGATTTTTCTATAACAATTTAAGTTTTTCTTAAACATTAGACATACATTACAAGATGCAAATAAATTATTAAATACCTTTTTAAATTAGAAAAGTAGACATTTTACTTCCAAAAAGGCAATGACTCAGCATTCTTGCTGAGTCATTGCCATAAAAACATGTTATAATTTCTTTAGCAATAATCATCTGCAGAACATATTTAGAGACAACGTTTTATTTTTTTTGCAAAATACACTTTTGCTGCTCTGAGTGTGTTGTTCTTTTAGGAAATTGCCTTTTTTTAATCTATAATCTCCAAATAATCAAATCATGATTAATCATTTACTAAATTAGTTTACAATTATTTCAATAATTGAATAATCATGATTAATTTGATTTATCGTTTCAGCCCTGGTGATTTCAGTCGTTAACTGGGTTTTTTGTTGCTTTGACTCCTCAAACTCAGATATTTCCAAGTTTTTTCTTGAAAATTTCTGAGTTTGGTCTCAAACGTTCTTAATTTTCAGGGAGAAATTTACTCCCTGAAATTTCTCCCCATCTGCAATGGCCCTAGTGCACCACCACAGCCGAATGTGTGTTGCTTCATATTCTCACTTGCTTTCTGTGTTGCTCAGCATCCATGATGACCTCACAATTAATATTTCTCATCAGCTCATTTTGCAGCTTTCAAACATTCCAAAATTCACTACATTTGGTATTTTTACAAACAGTAAGTTTGTCTCAGTAAAAGTAAAACAGTGCAAATTCACTTTTTTGGACATTTTCTGTATTTATGCTAAATAATCTTAGCTGTGATAACATATTGAATATTATAAATTGCATTTTATTGAATGATACAAACACGGAGGATAAATATGTTTTTAACAGATTGAGAGAAAACTTAAAGTTTTCACCTCAGCTGGGAATGTAAACTCCAACAGTCCTTAAAATAAATAACTAATCTAGGAGTGTTCGACACTTTCAACACAAATGGTTTCATAGTTTCCTAAAAAGAGACTACATTTCTTTTTCTGTTGGTACCTGTGCTAAAGCACCAGAGCAGCTTTATATAACCTGGCGTTCTGACAGAAACAGGTGAATTGCTGCCTACCTTGAATGCATTGCTTATATATCTATTTTAGGTTCCTGTTCAGCCGCCAGTAGTTCTACAGAAGGTCTCTTGCTTTCATGTAAAAACTACAGTAAGAAGAGTCAAGAATGCCAAGAGAAATGAGCCGACTTTCAGTGATTCAGTGAAAAACGAAATATGTATCCTTAAATTCAGTCCGCTTTGCCGGCAAAACATTTATTTCTGTTAGTGACTAAAGTCCTATATTTTATGCTACTAGTTGCTTTATTTCTATATGAACTCAGTCAAAGCTCAATGGTGTTTTTCCACTTTCTTATTTATTTAGTCTCTGAGCTGAGAAATTCTGATTTCCCAGTTGGAAAAATTAAAGATTAAAGACTTTTTAAATCAGAATAAAGTCAGAATTCTTTCATCTCAGAATGCCAACCTTTTCTAGGGGTCTGATCGTTGAAGATTAAAGCCAAAATTCAAACAAAATTGTCAATTTCAGAAAAAAGAATTTTGAGAAAAGTCAGAATCCATAGAAGGAAAAAAGTCAAAATTCTGAGAAAAAAGTCAAAATTTTGATTAAGAAAAATTTGAGAAAAAGTCAGAATTCTGAGATTAAAGTTGGAATCTTGAAAAAAATTCAAAATTCGGAGGAAAAAAATTAAGAAAAGATGACAAAATTTTAAGAAAAAATTATTTTGAGGGGAAAAAAAGGCCCAAATTCTGAGGTTAAAGTTACAGTTCTGAGATTAACGGTGAGAATCCTGGGGAAAAAAAGTCAAATTTTGAAAACAAAAAAGAACTTTGAGGAAAAAAGTCTAAATTTTGCGAAACAAGTCAGAATTTTCTGAGAAAATACCAAGAATTCTGGGGGAAATGTCAAAACTTTGTGGGGGAAAAAAATAATTATTTTCTTTTTTTCCAGTGTCCCTAATTCTTTTCCATTACTTAGACACTTTTTCTGCTAAATAAAAGTTGCCTGGGGTGTTAGCTACACTCTAAACTGTACAAGATTTCCTTATCGTAACTATTTTCTTACAGAGTTCAGTTAAACTCAGTTTTTTCTTTCTTACGTCAGAGTCAGGAAGCAGGTCGTCCTCGTCATCCATGCTGTAGGGGGCGCTGTGGAAGTCCTGAGCCTCGGCCAGCAGCTTCCTCTCCAGCGCCGAACCGGGCCGGATGTCCACAAACGTGGTCTCCAGGTACTCCTTGCTGAGCATGTCCGCTTGGCCCCACAGCGGCCCAGCCGGGTAGAGCGACTCCAGGCTGCGCGGCAGGGCGCAGGCATCCAGCAGCTCCGGAGGATGGCCGCAGTAGCCTCTCCAGCCCAGCGGAGGATACGCTCGGTCCTCCTCACACTTCACCAGAATGCCCTTAAAAAGACCGACCGGCGCCTGGTTCTGCTGGTTCTGGCCGGACGGCAGCCTGTTGGCGGCGCTTTCTCCCAGCAGGGGGTGCTCCAGCTCGTCTCTGTTCTCCATTAAAGACGAACCGCTCCAGAGGCCGCATCAACAGGCAAACGTAATCTACAAGCCGGCTGGCTCGATGGGCTTATGTAGAGGCAGCTGCTGTGATAATCCACCTTTAATCCTATTCTTTAATTTTTCTCTTGTTTCAGTGCCGGGTCCAGAGGAAAAAAGCACATGCCGAATTTATCCCAGCACCTGAAAGTTGTGTTGGATTATTGGAGAAGCTTTGGTCTCAATTTTTGTTCTCGAACAGCAAAAAGTGACAATAACAGTTATTGATAAATTAGACGCCCTTGTTTCTCTTCAGCTGCAGCAGAAACAGTAAAAAATATTTCCTTGGCTTTGCTTTCTGACACTTCATGAAGACATAACATCTAGGATTAGTTTTGGGAATAGATTTTAACATTTAGGTGTGAAAGAAATAAGGCTACAGAAGTATAATCCAGGGGTGAACATTGGCTCGATGTTCTTCAGGAAACAAAAGTTGTCTGGTTTTGAATTATGGCTTCAGAGTGACAAAAACAACCCAGTTCCTTAAGACTCCATCCAGCTGTCCAACAAAGACGGTGAGGTCTGTGAAGACAAAAACACCACCACAGACATTTAGATTTCACATTTTAACACCAAATTTTGATAGATTTTGATAAAGAAATTAGTTTTACTATGAATCAATTACAACCCAAGGAAGTAACATCACAAATTAACTATCAGTGGTGGGACAATTTTATTATAGTTAACTAAAACTAATGAAATAACAAAACTGAAATTGAGAAAACCCTTAATCTGAAAGTTTGTATCATATTTCTAAGACTTTATCACAACTCAATGAACTTACAACATTTCTGCAGCTAAATTAGTTGAATTAGATTCCTATTCACCTTTTGCAACTACGTCACTTCCAGGCGCCATGATGGACATCGGAAGTGAGAATCGGGAGTATTGAACTGAGCAGCTGAAATTGTTTTCCAAAGTTGTCTTTGCCAGATTATTCGTGGCTTCTACTTGTTCGAGTCGAGCTAATTTGTCTGTGAATGTAACTCACCTGGTTGGGGCTCATAGACGGCGGGATTTACAGAAGTTGGAAAGAAACCGACCCGAACCTCCTCCCTCCTGACGTGTTGATCAAATTAATGACTTTGTCTGAATTCATACCACATGATTTATATCACTATGCCATAAACAGNGTTTNCCCTTAAACCGGAGCNGCATTAAAAACGTACAAGACGAGATGCTAACCAGTTTTTTCCATACATGCTAGGCTACGTGACGGTGCGGCATCGTCTCCATGGTTACCAATGATTAGACCTGTACCTTCTCCATAATGCATATTTGATATCTTTTCAATCTATCATACTTTCTTATAAGATAAGTCAACGTTAGTCTTCTTACCTTGTAAAAAGTATTTGCTGCTAATCCGCGGTTACACCGAGGAATGCCAGTCATTATGATTGATGGCCGATATCCATCGCCGCCACGTCTTTCCTCATTAAAAGTTTTACAATAAAATGTCAAGTTTGGTTTCTACCCTTGTCTGTTTGCGAAGCCGGCCGCGCAGCACCATATGTCCATTTTTAAGGTGAAATCAACTAAATAGAAGCGACATTACGTTACAAATGTCTGTTTTTAGACTTTAAAGGAGCGCATTGGTTGTTTTGGTCTATGGTTTTGATGTCCGTCATGGCGGAGTGGGCGGAGTTCTGGAGAAAGTGACGTCACGAGCAGAGTCAAAACCAATCATTTTAAAGGGGTTTCTCATTGGACCACAGGAAGAATACTACTACAGTGTTGCTAATAATGAAATAATAATCAACTCGTTTACTCTGTCTCTGCAACCAAAGTTAATTCCCACAGTAATTCTCTGGGCTCAGACTATTTAATTAGCTTGGCATCAGCTCACAGTACTGTGATATGAATGGCCACCCATAGAGATTTCACTGCTAATAAAGTCCCACTGTGGGTTGTTAAAATAAAGATTGTAAAGGAAAGAATGAACCAGAAGTTGCAAAAAAATAAAAATACTGCCAATCTGTGTACAGTAGATGTTACAAAGGGTTTTCAGACAGTCGCTAAAATCAAACAGCTGTAATTTGCTAGCAGATTTTAAAAAGCTGCAAAATATTTGAAAGAGGGTTGGAGGTTCACCTTCCAGCAGGACAGGTGGAATGACTCAAAATGGTCAAGTGGAGACGTACACCCAAAATACTTGCAGTTGTAAATTCTGTGAGAGTTGGTTCTACAAAGTATTGACTCTCTCAAAGACCATGACTTTCTGTTTCACAGCTTTGGACCACTTTGAGATGACTTAAAACAAAGAAAAAATCCCAATAAAACACATTGTAGACTTCAGATATAGGATGTTTCGACACCCAATAGTCCGGTAGGTTTGGTTCAATTGGGGACGAAAATTGCCACATTTGTTACATTTTCAGCTGCTGCGGTTCTTTTTTATGCTGCACTAAGTCTAATAAACCACACCTTTTGAAAAGCCTGTTCCCCTCCTCACCTCTGGGGGTGCTGCACCAAGACCAGTGAAGGGAATGCTGTAAAACGTCTGAAGAAGACACTTCTTTCTTCACAAAATGTAAACAAAAACGGAGTGACGTCAGATGTTAGCAGCTGTAGGATTTCTCTTTCGTTGTTGGTAAAAGACAACAAGTCATTTCTCCGGCTAGTTCTAGATTAGCGCTTTTGTTTTGGTTGTTATTTACCCAGAATGCCCTGCACTGTAGTCCACCTCCTGCTTTTGGAGCGGTCTTCGGTCCGCTTGGCGTTCACATATGCATCCAAACCACAGCAGAGTTCACTTCAACCAAACCCAAACCGAGGTTTATAGCTTTTTTGGTTTGATTATGCAGTCACACCGCCACAAACAAACTGGAGTTTACATAAATCTTTAAATAAAGTGTTACCCATTTTAACTTGTTTTCCAGTCTGTAACACTTTAATGAATGAACTTCTTGTCGTAAAGATGTAAAAACCAGCAGCTTGTGAAGGAGAAATACTGCTGAGAGCGATCTAATGAGAAAATATGGAAAAGCAATCTTCATTGTGTCTTGAGAGTCTTTTCATTCCAGTCTGGATAATGAAGTGTCATTTCACCAAACGACATAATAGCTCATCAGTCAGTATTCAGAGCAGCTCACACGATGGATTCAATAACGCGCTTCAACACACCAAGGAAGAAGGAGGAAAGAAATGGTGTAACTGGGTATTTTTAGCCGGCGTGGTTTTATTTTCCGCTCGCCTCCTGCAGGGGAAGCACCTCGAGTGTTTTTTTTTTCTTTTCCAACAACAAACATGTCCGCCTCCCTTTTAGAGACAATACATGTGAGGCATGCAGACTCCTGCAGCCTCAATCCAGGAGAGATGCACTCAGCTTTATTACAACCCACCCCTCTCCGCCTGCGCTCCTTCTCTGCCCAGCCACCGTAAAAAGACGTCAGTCAGCTGTATTATCAGCCTGACTCTATTTCTGACTAAAGCTTGTAAAACATCCAGTCGGGTGGAGAGGAGCCTGCAAGGACGACCCTGAAAATCACAGACGATCCGTTTGGAGCAGGGATGTTATCGGTTAATGCTGAGGTGTCCAGGGGCCATTTGTGGTCCTTGGACTGATTTTGTTTAATTCAAAAATGATAGAAATTTGACCTGAAGATGCAGATGGAGACTATTTAATTTGTAATCAGGCTAAAAATTGTTAGCAACATAATTGTCTTACACATAAAAATGCAAAGCACAACAGAAAGTATTTATGTTTTTATAACCAACTTTTAACAAAAGGTAAAGTTTATCCAGAGAGCTGAGAGTTTTCTAGAAAATTTCTGAGATTTATCTAAAAAATTTTGAGGTTTTTTTCCTCACACATTTTCAACTTTGGAGCTCAAAAATTATCTTTTTTCTAGAAAATTTCTGAGATTGATCTTCAAATTTCTTACATTTTTGGCAGAAATGTACTCCCTTTTCTTCTATCTACAATCTCCCTAACACGCTGTTGTACTAAGCAGAATTTATTAATCAATTGGGACAACTTTTAAGCTAAACAACTAATTGACAGTTAATTGCAAATTGATTAATTGTTTGAAACCGTGTTTTGGAGTTTTCTCAAACACATAGTTATCTCCACATAATCCACCGAACTAAACTTCTTTAATGAAATGCAAAGAAATCTCCCTGAAATCTTCAGTGACAGTGCTGACTCTCATGAGGATTTTCAGCAACTCTGCAGTCTTTTCTCTCTCTCTCTCAGCGCAACACGCCAACTAATCATCCTGGAAGTTATCTGCTGTAAAGCCTCGGCTGATACAAATCGAGCGGATGCAGATAAAAGCAGGAGCTGCACACGCCTCGCAGGCTCTAATAAAAAGACATCTTGACTAACAGAGATGTCAGGCTGAGGAGACCCAAGCTGGGGTTTTTTTTATGTTGTTTTTTTTTTGAGAGATGCCAAAGTAGGAGGAAGAAATCTGAGTCGCCCTGCTGCTTATTAAATGGCCCTATTGATTTCATTTCCCAACCCTTTTCTCTTTCTGCTTCTGCCTGACGAGTGCAGAGGAAACCAAACAGAAAAGATAAGCAAAAAAAAAAAAAAAAAGAAAGAAAGAAACAGGCAGGAACATCGAGAGCTCAAAGTAACACCATGTTCCTATGGAAACACATTCACTGTCAAGTGGAGCGCTCACTGCAGGAGAAATGAAGCTGAGGCTAATTTGCCATTTCAGTGCTGTTCCTCTGCTTGGCTCGATAAACACTGAACCTCCTGGTAAGGAGGTTTCTGTCATTTTACACCCGCAGAGGATCAGTTATTTCCTCTGCATGGTTAAAAATAAAAACAGATAAACACAGTCACACTCAGCGCTGACTATTTGAACCCCGCTGTGCAAAAACTCTAATCAATCCGCGGCGTACACCCAATCTGACCTCTGACACGCAACCCATTCTGTTTCCAGATTCATTTGCAGCCTTGCATCATTTACTCTCAAGCATTTCCAACTCAAACCAAAAACACACAGCTGGTGCTCATGTGCAGAGAAGCCAGAGGAATAAGAAATCATCCATCTGCAATATGTTGCACATGGTTCTCTCTGCAGGAAGTGTGTTGTTTTGTATGTTAGAGACAGAATATACAGTGTGAAGGAACTGGCTGCAGCTCACAGTCTTATGCTGTTTGTGGATTGTGCATGTGTGTGCGTGCGTGCGTGTGTTGAAATTCTCTCCAGGGATGAAATTTATAGATGTACTGGCTGGTATGGAAGGCAAAAAGTGCTACATTCATGAATAAAAACGAAAAATTCATACATTGATAAATTAGATACATTTCACTAGAACTGCCAGCAGTTATCATGGGTTCCAAGCCAGCTGATATATAAATTAAAGGACATATTTTTTGTATTTTCCATGTTCATAGTATTAGTTCATAGTGGCAATACTTTGTGCTACTATTATGATAACAAAAGTAACGATAATAACTAATGACTTTTTAAGGTAACTATATGGCTGTGACAGCAGCTGCTCTTGAAAATCATTCCTATTTGTAATAAGCTTCTTTAGGACACCAGCCACATAAAGAACTGTTATTTGTATTCATTTATATTTCTAAATTTATTGGTATTTATTGATGCTTTCATTTAACAACCAGTGGAGAAAATATTAAAACTATCAATCTCGACAATACGGATAGTTTTGGAACTTATAATAACAATAAAAACCAAGGTACTTTTGAGCTTCTTTTGTTCCACCAGATTGAAACTTTATAACCCCCCAAAAAATGTAAAGAAACCTATAAATAGCAGAAAGGAAATACAACAATTTAGCTTTCTTTTTTGTTTTAAGCCATTTTTGTTATTGTGAGACATGGAACTAACAACACCTCCTAATAGTTTAGGTACTCAGATTTCAAGTCAACTACAATTTTGTTTCTATACCAGATAAAAAAAAAACCTGCTTTACTGCTTTTTATCATCAACAAGACAAAAAGTAAGAGTGTGGATTAGAATAAAAAAAGAAAAAAAACAACATCTAATGTCATTTTGAAAGCTTGAGCTGGAGGATAAGGATGAAAAGGGATTGGCTGATTCCTGGATTCTTAGAAATTAAGCATTTCAACATTAAATTGAATCCTGGAAAAGATTGGATGCCAGTAAGAAGGCCGGCTCAGCTCTAATGTGGTGTTAGAAGACATGTTGCTGCAGTTTGGAAAAGCATCTCATTAAAGGACCCTGTGGGTGTAACGACACCCATATTCATACTGAACATACCTGGCACAGCCCTCAATGTTTGGCAAATACGGCGTTGTTTCATACCTGTACACACTGAGAAGCAGCTACTTGAGTTTACACCAAAAACTGAACAGAAAGGACTCCCAGTTATCACTAAACTCCATTTTTTGGTGGAATGTAAAGGTTTCTTGTGAAGAAAGAAACTCTGGACTGAACCAAAATGTTACATAGGGCTGGACAAATAATCAATAACAATATATATCACAGCAAACATGTGATTATTCAATAATCACTGAACTCTAGCTAATAATAACTAATGACTTTTTAAGGTAACTATATGGCTGTGACAGCAGCCATATAGCCATGCTTAGTTGGTGACAGCAGCCACCAACTAAGGCGGTGATTCCACCGCCTTAGAATCAACTAAGGCTGCGTTCACACTGCAGCCTGAAGTGATCCAATTCCGATCTTTTGTCAAATTTAAATTTTTTTGTCGTTGCCGTTCACACTTCCAAATGCGACCGACCTGTGTGTGTTCTGCAGTCTGAACAGGCAAACGACCTGAAAGTGTCCCACATGCGCAGTAGAGGCGCAATAATGTCAGCGTTCTCAGTGTTCTGCCAACCACTAATAGTTCAGGTACATTGCAAAATTAAGCTAAGCTAAGATAAGCAGAGCTAAGCTAACATCAGATAAGCTAAGCTAAGATAGTTTTATTTGTCTACCAGGGGGGAAATTTGTCTTAGAAGATAAGAAAAGGCTGCAATACAACAAAGATGATAAATTACACTTCTAAGTCAATAACAATAAATACATAAAACTAGCATAAATGATTAAATAGACATCAAATGTTCAAAGTAGCACATTCTTATGAAATATTAATGCGCAAAAACAAAAAAAAGCATGATTATTATCCACACAAACATATAAAATGTTTTTAACTTCTCAACTTCACCTTAAATAAATTGTTAAAAGTTTTACACTACTGAGTGTTTGATACCAAACATGCATCAGAACTGGTTTTAGAATAAATAAAACAACTGATTCTGGACGAATTAGAGAAAATACAATTTTAAATTCACTGAATTTGCTGCTGAATAAACAACAGTTTGAATAAATCAACAATAAAGCGATAATGATATTTATGTCCATGATGTGTGTGTTTTCATTTGGTCTTTATGCTGAAGTATAATTATCAAGTCTCAAACTGTCAACAGCCTCGATAAAGACTGCGATAGCAGCCTTTTTGTTGTTTGAAAAAAACAAACACTTTTTTCTGTGAATAAAGCTGTGAAAGTGTCAGATTAGCTGACAAACTGCCACAGCCATTCCTGCAGTAACTGCTCAGATTCTGCACAGATGTCAAACTGACTGTTCACATCATCCAACCTGCAGCACAGCGACCTGAACGCGGCGCACGTTTCATCAGCATCAATTAAAGGAAAACGGCTCGTTTATTTTCTTTACCAAAAGATATACTTACTTTTTTATTATTTATTTGACATCTTGAAGTTTGTTGCAAAAAAAACCTGCTTTTGATTTCAAACCTTAAGGTCTGTTTAGTTAACTTAAAATGTAAATTAAGGGTGTCCAAAGTGCGGTCGGGGGGCCATCTAAGGCCCTCACAGTGATTTTGTTTGGCCCTCGATCGCAATATAAAAATGGCACAAATTTGTTTTCGTAACTTGAGGTTGGAGATTGATTTAAACAAAACAAAAGATACATTTTCAAATAAGATACAAATGAATTAAAGTAATGCTTTGTCAACAAAGAGGAAAAAAAAAAAAAAAACATCCAGTGTGAAATTTGTGGTAAACTCAGCTAACTAAAGCAACGGTTTCTGAAGAAAAACAAACATCAAGATGAAAGACAAACGAATCCAAAGATATTAGTTTTGAAACACTGCTGGCAACAAGGCAGACTTAATGTTTCACATCTACAATGATTTACAGTTCTCCTTTATGCAGAAATATTTGTTTGATTAAAACAGTACAGATAAAAATGTAATGTTTAGCAAAAAATAAAAAATAAAACTGAATTCTGAAGTAAAAAAGACAAAAATCTACATCTACATTTAATAATTTAAATAATAATGTATTTTTGTAATAGACTTTGAAGTATTGTTTTTTGTTCTTGTTGCATTGCAGCTTTGTTCCCTCTTCCATGTGAGACAATTTTATTATCTTAGCTTAGCATAAATTAGCTTAGCCTAGCTTTTCTTCACATATTCGCATCAAAAATCCCCCACAGCATGATGCTACCACTACCATGTGTTCTTATTCAGTTTCAGAGTCTTTTATAGATGCCTTTTCTTACTTCTTGTGTTTTTTTAGCCCACATGGCAAAAGTTTGTTCACCTCTGATGTAAATTAAATGTTTAGTTTTAAATCTATAAAACTCTTAAATTGTGATTCTCTTAATGGAGCTGCTAAAGTAAAAAAAGCAGTTTGGAAAACATCTCCAAATAATTAAAAAACAGGTAGGATAAGGATAATTTGGCAAATTAATTCCCTAAATTATTCAATAATTATTTTTCTGCATATTACTACCCCTTTTTGTTTAGTTTTAAGTACCTTATTTAATTTTGCCTTCATCTTGTTTGTTTGCATCTAGATTTTAAACCCCATAATGATTTTCTAATATCACCTGATTGTAAAGCTTCTTTCCTTCAATTATTGTGTTTTCTTCCTGTTGTTTTCCTCATACACTGAGTGGATTGCTGCGAGCCCACCCATGGCAGAGAAAGCCCCTGCTTTTAATCAGGACTCCTGGCAAGAGAAACACACTGCATGTCCCATTATTTAAGCTGCATTTCACCGTTTTCCACCCTGCATGAAGCATTGAAGATTTCAAATCATCCTGAATTATCACCTGGGGATTAATAGGAATGCTTTCTGCCTTTATCTGATTACAGATTATTAAAACTGCACACCAGGCTGATTGTAAACCATTAAGTGGACCAATAGACAATAGAGCTTTGCAGTATGAGGGGGATGCTCTGCAGCTCTGCTTTTTTTTTTAACAGGAAAAAAGCTGCTACAGCAAAAAAATAAATAAAAAAAAATTAAAGAAAAAAAAAGCTGCAGATTATTTGAAGGTTGTAGGAGGAAAATTAATGTAAAATACAAAGCTGAAAAAAATCCTTATAACATGAATGCCATTTCTTTAAATTTAGCTTTTAGGTGTAAATCAGCATAAATGTTCTCACCTTCAGGTCCCAGCTGAAACCATACACAGGAGTGAAAGATGTCCTTCCTCGTATTGAATATGCGTGAAGTTTAACTGTCTATGTGCGGGACAGGTACACGTGTTGTTGCGGGAGCCTCGAATGAGTAGCTGTTAGTCAAACTTATCGGCATCTCCTCGGCTGCTTGGATGATGGAGATGTCACACCTGCTCACCCATCCTCTGTCGGAGGCTCTCCGTCCCCAGATGAACATCCCCGGTGCGCTGTATCCCTCCTACTCCTCCTCCTCTTCGCAGAGAGGAGAGGTGGTTCCTTAATGCTGCGGTTACTGTGTCAGCTTTCTCCTGTCACTCCGACTTTTCCTCTGTCTCCTCCTCTTTACTGTTGGATGCTCTGGGTCCTAAAGCCCGCCGCTGCACCACCTTACGGGGCTTTTGTTGTATTTTAATCACTAAACGGTCCCACTAAGGATAGCAAACACGCAAACTGAGGATATTTCGCCTTTTCTTGCTTCTCTAAGAGGATTATGGAGGTCAGGGCTTGATTTTGGGTTTAGATTTGGATTGGGGTTAAGACCGTAAGGATGTTTAAAGAGGCATTGTGCATGTTTTTGTTACTTCCATTTGGGTTTCTACAGCTCCTAAAAACAGCCCGAGAAATT